GAATGATTTATGAACAGTAAGCCAATCCGTCAAAGAACAAATAACACGGAAAACTCAGCATAACATATAAGTAGATAGATACTTTCATATGTACACTTAAAAATTTATATATAACTGGAACTTTCATAGAATTCTCAACTTATTTTTGTTTGTTTTTTTCTTTAGAAAGAAAAACGTGAAGCTTTGGAAAAAGAAGAAAAAGACCTGTTAAACAAAGAGGCAGAACCATTAAGGGCTTATTTAAGAAAGCATATTATGCCAGTATTATCAAAAGGATTAACTGAATGTCTTCGCAAACGTCCAGATGATCCGCTGGACTTTCTAGTAAGTATTTATTAAATGGATTTAGTGGTATTTAAATTTGATATATTATTAATGTACAAGCATCGTCATAATAAGATATTTTACTTGGCCTTACAATTAACCTTAAAGAAAACTACGAAAACTTAGAAAACGTTTAGTACTCACTAGAGTTTTTTATTTAACTCATAATGTATTGCAAGTTAAGGGTTAGATAACACTTCATCATGTGTGGTGTTACAAAGTACCTTCATATTAAATGAACAATATGTGAAGATGACAGAATGTCAATCATTAACATCTATCGATGTCTTGGACGATGAGCAGAATTTTTCGAAGAGCTGTTCAACTGGTCTGTTGCTCCGGCAACATCGATCAGACTGTCCAGCTCTCCATGGCCGGTGACGACTGCTCCACCAAATGAGGTGGAAGTCCACAAAGGACTCCAACTCCTGAAACGCTACAAGTTACTGGACCCAGATCACCTACCTCCTGTTCTTTTTAAAGATGGTGACTTTCTGGTTAAGGGACTGACTACGTTGTTTACAAAGGTTTGGGAGGTAGAGAGTGTTCCAACATCATGGGACGAGTCGATAGTCATTCCTATCTTTCAAAATGGTTCACGTCGCTTCTGTAACAAGTATCAGGGGATAAGTCTACTCCCGATTGCGTCCAAACTATTGGCTTCTGTCATACTTCGTATGTTGTTCAAAACCTGAGAAAAACTGAATTCGGTGGCTTGGACATGTTCTACGAATGTCGTCCCAGGGAATTCAACATATGGCATGGTATCATAGTATAAAAGAAAGCTGTACAGGATTGGCTTGTGTTGCTTCTTCAATACTCCCTGGTTGAGGTCCTAGAGATGGTGTAACACAGTGTCTTGAGACGTTATCAGGCATGGCTCAGAATAGAAGCCAGTGGCGATCATGCTGAAACCTTCTTTTACTTTCCACATAAAAGGTGACTGTAACTTATTTGACTGAAAGAATTCTTTCTGGTTGTACCTTTCTGTTTCTCCCATTACATTTATTTTTTCACTACCATACACTAATTTGTGGCCATTATTGTTCTTTTTTCTTCTATACGCAGCTTACACTCTTTATCTCTTTTCATTCTTATTGTGATTGTGTGGCGCATATATATCCAGTGCCACCTTGTACCTATATTTGTATTCAAATAAATGAATAAATAGACTTCATAACAAGGTTTGAAATGTAGAAGACTGGATGGTGATCTAACGATCGAAAGGTTAAGCGCTCGCATAGACCTAAAGGGCCTGAGTTAGACTCTCAGCAGGACCAAGGATAAACACTGCTAAAGGGTCTCATGCTCAGTGATTCTTGATTTTTAAAAACTGCTTAACATAAGTTTGTGACATACAAAATAAAATATTACATAGCCCTTAGTTTTCCAGCTGACTTCGATGAGTTAAATTATCACAACCATATTATTTAACTGTATGATTTATTTTCTACTATGAGGATCGTTATCAATAAATCCACCACCTTGGCTTTATGTAAGTAGATTGTCAACGTATTAATGATGTGTCACTTTCAGCTATCATAATTCATCATTCTACATTTCTATCTCATTTCAGTATTGCTTTCCAACTTTATCAACTAAATTATGTTAAACTTTTGTTTTTAACTATATTACGAGCTGTAAAATTAGGTAGTTTGGGGTTGATAAGCGGCCTTAAAATAGTTTTTATTTATTTGAACACATAAATATTGGTAAAAGGAAGCACTGGATACATATGCGCAACACAAATCTCATTTGATTTGTGTGAGGGCTGTGATACTGCTCAGGTGCTTAAACTGAAACAGGTGGTTTTCTTAGGGGCCACACCCAGAGCCTTCGACCTAAAGGTCTGATCCACAAGGCAGTGGAGCATCGTGAAGAGATGCAGTCCCATGGTAGCCGGTGACCAACAATTGATTCATACGCCATTTGTTCCCTCAGGATACTGGAGCCCATGTGCACCATTGACTTGGAATCAGGGTTTCCCATCTCCACTAGGTGAACGCACCGTGTCCACCAACCCGGTTAAAGCGCCAGACATTCACTTTTCGTCCTCTCAATTTCGTAAACAACAGTAATGCCACGAGAAGGCAGTGAGTAGGACTTCCCTGACAGAGGCTATATACGCGTGGCCATATGAAAGCATTTTGAGAGGGAGAGCGGACTCTCCCCACTCTCGGCCGTACGAGGGCATTTGGGGGCGAATACACATTTATTTAAATTGTTATACCTACTCTGTTTAAAACTATTATAATAGCGAAATTTATGAAGAACTAACATTTCTTTCCTGGGTTGTTTTTTTCATTTCAGGCTGAATACTTATTTTACAATAATCCTCAAGTTGATTAAAGTCTTGAATATTCAATTAGATTGAACAAATAAACAAAATTACATCCAATGGAAGTGAATAAATGCAAAGATATTTGATATTTTAATCACCAACATGTACTTTAAAAAAAGGAACTGAGAACTTAACCGTATAAGTACGAAAATTAAAATCTAAATCACCGATATTATTCTCTATTTATACTTTATGATTATGTCTGTAATGTTCTTTTGCCAGAAACTTTTACTAATAAACTTCTGAAAGTCATGATAGAAATTGTATTCATTATGAATTCACAATAATTAACGCATAATAAGTCAGTCAGTCACAACGTAGAACTTCGTACGTACGTACACCAGTTCGAGTTGCCATACCACATTAGCACAGAGATGCAGTTGTCGATTCAAATCCCATAATGGTAGAGGTAGTAAAGGTATAAGCAATAATGTAAAAGATTAGGGTTTGAAGATGTTGTTCAAAGGGTATAATCCAGTGAAATAAATTTGGAGAGAGAAAAGAGATAGCGACATGAAGAATTCAGAAAATTAGAATTCGGCAGAACACAAAGAGTAGATGCGCCTTCTCCATTGCAAACGATTTTGAGCCATGTCATTCAAGGTCTCTAACCATCGATTGCTATCATCTCGCGAATCCCAACCAGGTAGTCTACACCTACCAGCATGGCTCAGTTCACTTGTCAATGACTTCATGGATTTGTGCCACGTTTTGGTCTGGCCTCCCCTAGCTTTCTTCCAACCTACTCCTACACCATGAAACATTGCACGTCGGGGCGGTAGGTGGTTGGGCATACGTAACACGTGTCCCAGCCATCTCTGATGAACTTTCACTACTTCATCAATCAATTTGCCATCCTTACCTGTTTCCTAACAACTACATTACTTACTCGGTGGTCCAAAGATATACGAGCAATGCTTCGAAGACACCTTTGATCCAATACTAGTACGCGTAGTAACAGAATTTTAGAAACACGGGTGTAATTATTATTATTAACTGATGATGATCCACAACTTCATTTGTGAATAATTCACATAACTTCCTGACTTTATATCTACGTAACATTATTCAGTGATGTCAGATCTTGTATTCTGGGTCCATACAAAAAGCTCATTATTCCCTGTTGGTGATACGCCTGATTATGCTATAATACTAAAAAAGCATTTTAAGCTGTTTAGAATACTTTCGTTTATTCATCATGGGTCTTGTTTAGTGATTATTGCACGGGAAACTTGAATTTCCATAGTTAGGATTTCAAGTAGTAGTGGTATGTAGAGATCTAGTTAATTTCATCAGCGGAAGAGCAGTGAATAGCCTGTACATACATTTACTCTTACAAATGTGCTGTTGTAAATGACTGAGCGCAGGTATCTGGATAGGCAACCTGATAGGGAAGTTGCTGGTGTGGGAAACAAGATTGATTTCAGTGCCTCGGTATAGATCATATCGAATGATGATGAATCATGATTATTAAGAGTCAAACGTACAGCGTTTTAATATAAGTAACAATCCTATAATTATGAAACTTAACCTCCTATGGGTTAAGGAAGTCAGACAGTTTTCCTTTCATATTTTGTTATTAAAAAAATACTGCTTGTTTTCTGGCAGTAACATTATCAAAGTAATACTGAAAATTATTAGCCTGTCTAAGCATAGTGGAAACTGTCATTTATTCGGATGTTTTCTATGTGAACAGCGAATTTGGAGGCTCAGAGGTGTTTTATAAATGACATTCAAGGAACTCCCATATCAACTATTCCATGATGAACTGGATAAAAGCATATAAGAAAAGAGTTGCTTTGCGACATGGATCTGTGAAAGTAATAAAAATATATATATATATATATATATATTAGAATAACACTACTTCTTGAATAAGGATCTGGAACATTAAGTAACTTAATGGTTTGTTTTGAATAAATTGAGCATTGGGTAGATTGTTATAAATAAATAGTATATTTGTAATATTCCAATGAGTAGAAAAAGTAAATTTTCTGACGTTTCGTGACTCGGTGTAAGCCACTTCTTCAGAGATATTACAAATATATTATTTATTTAAAGGTTTGTGACTTTATCAAGTAGCAGTTATATGGATCTAAGGAAACAATAAGATGCTCCTGTTCCCAAAGTTCGATTGTGTGTTGCATTTTTTTGGCGACTTAATGAGCACACTTCATGTTAGATAAATACATTAATACAACTGATGTAAAGTATGTTAGATTATAAATACTAAATCGACTGTTACAAAAACATCGCAGTTCAACAATATAAAGGGTTGTATTTTCAAAGCAAGAAGATTAATTACAACACTGTACACCAAAATAACGAACTAGGTTTATCGTTTCATTTCCCCAAGATTCTCTATTACGTCTTTATCAATCTACAAGACAAAAATAAATCGTTTGGATTTCATCGTCAGCAAGTAAAAGAATGAGAGCACCAAAACTCAAATTAAAGTATAAACTAAAAATATTGTTGGGTAGGTTTTGTGTAGATATGTTTAGTTCAAAAGTGGTATACATCAAAGATTGATCTCAGTTGTGGAACTATGTAAGACCAGTGGGACTTGATAGCTATTTTGTCCTGATGTGGGACTCCTTAGCACTGCGCACCCACGATACTATCAGATATCGAAATCAGAACTTTTAGGACTCCCAGTGATACGTATTTTTAACTCCAATCAATTTGTGATGCAGTTCAACAACCATTCAATGCCATTCATGAGTACTGTTTCCCTCCCGACATCTCTGAATTCCACCGGTCATAACTTTTTACCAATAATTCATGACTTCATCTCGAAACAAGTCACTAAAGGGTACGATTATAGTATGGGTCTTTGTAAATTGGTTTTTCACACTGCTCTAACTGAAAACAATCAGTAGAGAATGCCACCATTATATATAAACTCATGAATTACAGTGAGCACCTGTCTTTGATGTATATCGTCTGAGATGAGCTTAACCCAATGTAATTTATTTGTCATGTACTAGTTTGTTCATTCTAATTTGAAATTGATTCTTAACATGAGCAATATAAATAATACTCAACTAGTGTACCCGAAATAGATAAAGGAGGCATCTGACCTGTTTTAGTAGTTAAAAATCGGATAACTTAACTATTAAGCTTGATAAATCCAAGTGAAATTAATTTCTCATATGACTGAAAAACTTAACAGAATATAATAGTTTAAAATTCCTTGTAGGCGATAGTAAAAATCTTCAAGGGAAAGTAGTAACCTCAACTACCATCACTTTTAAAATAACTACATAAGACCGACACTTTAAGCAGAAATCTTATCAGCCAATTGGTTTGAAAATACTAATCCCTTTTCATCCTTTAAGTATTTATGTAAGAAAGATACTAAATTCCACTATATGAATAACCAGAAAGTTATCTAGTAACATATTTACGGCAGAACAAAACAACCTTCTATTTATCGGCAGCCTTTCATGTTTTTTTTCCTTTTATCCATAATTATTTTTGTTGATAAACTTGTTATTCACATAATCTATTCAAATTCTTATTCTGCAACCGTTAACGGTCCGAACCTGAAAATTACAATCCCATGTCTCTAAAAACAATGCACTTAGCAGTGTGCTCTGATTTTCGACAACTTAAATCTTTGTTAAATCAGGTGGCGAGGCTGTTGGACGAAAATTCCAGCACAAACGAGCATATGTAGTTCCGAAACGATAATTTAGTAGCTGGTTTCCTTGAGATAAATATACCCTTATATCAGAAAAAGACCATTGCATTACAAGGTCATGGTGATAGATGCATGTCCAGACAAATGATTCTGTAAAGCGCCGAATTGTTGGTCGGTTGTGCTACAAAAAAGACGATATCTTATGAAACTTGATTCTTAGAGTTGTATTACTAAAACCAAAGATAGCTAAGAATTTAAACATGTAAATAGAATGAAAAATATGCACTATAAGCATGACAGAAATGACGTACAGGCTCAAAAAAGTAACTCACTTCTGGCCATTTTTCAACTAATACATTAATTAGCTCGTCTTTTACATCTCCTTGAATTACGATTTCATCACCATTTCCCGTTACTGAACTACCGGTTGCAAATTTATGACCGAATACCTTTGAAGCCGCTTTCAGATCAATCCCTAAATTAAGAAAAAACAAGCCGACTGAGTTGTGTTTTAGTTCATCATAAAATTACTATTTCTTGATTGTTTCTATTTTGATTGATGGTAAAGCATAAGCATCTATGGCTTTATTTAGTCACAATCGATACCTAATGAATAAATTCGGCAGCGGAACATTAGCATTCTACTGTGAATAGTTGGTCTTAACATTACTAACAATGACTTGCAGTATATGACATTAGTTATTCACAAATCCAATCTAGATTTCCAGAATATCAAGCCGTAATAAAGGTTGACAGTCAGGTTTTAATTTCATAGGTGCTTGAGTGATTTACGTAGCCTAAATCTTTTAATAGCTTGTACTATGACTGTAATATAACGACGCTCTTTTTTTGTTATTTTATTCGATAAAACATCTGCCATGTCTAAGAAAGTAGTTCATTTGCAGGATTGAGTAAATTGAATGGAATTGCAAGTAGTTGTCATGGCCACAGGAAATTTCGCCTACTAATTAGAAAACGATTTATTATAACAAACGTTTTTTGTCATTAAAACCTAAACAACAGTATTTCCGTCCAACTTAAGATGTAGTAACTTGGTGTACTTGTAAAGGAATAATTCCTCTATATCTGACTCCAATAAATAAATAATATCCCGTTAACTGAATTTTTAATGCAGGCTAAATCTTCTAGTATAATTATGGGTTTACTCGAGATTATTCAAGAGCCTGAACACCAGTTATAGAGATAGTTTATTGTTGAAGCTTGGTGAAAATCCGCAAGCGTACAGACAGCAAGCACACAGGGAAAACGAGTGAATATGTATATGTGTGTCAATGAGTGCTTAAAATCCATATATATTTAGGGGTGTTAATGGACTGTGGGTAAATTATTGATTGTCTTTGCTTACAACCAATGAGAGAATATATTAGAGATTGATGTGCAGACACATGCGCTCAATCAGACTCACACATAAATTTACAAAGTGGATTAACTGTTTAAACTACAGAAAACACACAAATAATACAGTAGTTGAATGGGCTTGTTACATAAGCTCCCATCCAGAACATAGTTGTTTTTTATATAACATCAGGGGATTGCATGAAGTCGAAAATAAGTATAATGAAGATCCGTGGGGCCAATAAAGAACAGCTAATAAAAAATAAAAGATTTTGTGTTAAGAAAAATTTCAGGATTTGGGCTAGGTAAATATAGTTGTTGCTACGTTTCTATCTGGAAAGTGTACTCCTCTTTCTGATCTTGTAGTTTCTGTTGCCGTTGAACTTCGGTGTGAAGTATTGCTTGTTGCAGGTAGTTTGTGTGGTGCTTGCTCTGATGCGGATTTAGATGATTTTATTGTTGTCTGTTTCTCGATGTGCTCTGAAAACGCTGGTTTTACTCTGTTGATGCTAACAGTATCATGTTTACCAGCTCTTTCTACCGTAACTGTTTTGCTGTCGTTTCGGACAATTTTAAAAGGATCGTCGTAAGGAGTCTGTAAAGGCTGTCGTACTCTATCATTTCTGACGAATACGTGTGAACATTTGCCTAATTCGATGGGTACGAATGACTTCGCCTTCTGGGTTCGTGGTTCGACGGACCTGGTGGATTTCATCTGTTGTTTCAATTGTTGCACGTATTTGGTTATATCTGCTGGAATATCTGTTGCACGGTCAAAAACGCACCAGGTAAACGTAGAGCGTCCCATAAACCAACTCAGCAACATAACAACCGATGTCTTGTTTGATAGTTGAGCGAATGCCTAATATTATCAAAGGAAACTTGGTATCTCATTTGTAACCTCCTCCTGAGGCCACCAAAGAGGCTTTTAGCTGTCGGTGGAACCTTTCTATCATTCCGTTAGCATTCGGATGATAAGCAGTGGTCGTCCTGATTCTCTTTATACCAAAAGTGTCTGTAAGCATTGTAAAGTGGTAATGGTCTAACAATGTCGATATGAATGTGGTCGAACCTAGAGCTAGCAACGGGAAAACTTCCTGTAGGAGATATAATGTGCTTGTGTATTTTCGACTTCTGGCATCGGATACATTCCCGTGACCATTTTCGTATATCTTTGTTTATGTTTGGCCATACAAGTCACTGTAAAGCTTATTACAGGAAGGCGGCTTGTACCATTACCGATTTCCAATGGTTACACGCATATACTAATACGTATAGATCGATTTACGAGATGGCCCATAGCCGTCCCGTTAAAAGAAAGCAACCTTTTCCAACAACTTACAGACACTTTTGGTATAAAGAGAATCAGGACGACCACTGCTTATCATCCGAATGCTAACGGAATGATAGAAAGGTTCCACCGACAGCTAAAAGCCTCTTTGGTGGCCTCAGGAGGAGGTTACAAATGAGATACCAAGTTTCCTTTGATAATATTAGGCATTCGCTCAACTATCAAACAAGACATCGGTTGTTATGTTGCTGAGTTGGTTTATGGGACGCTCTACGTTTACCTGGTGCGATTTTGACTGTGCAACAGATATTCCAGCAGATATAACCAAATACGTGCAACAATTGAAACAACAGATGAAATCCACCAGGTCCGTCGAACCACGAACCCAGAAGGCGAAGTCATTCGTACCCATCGAATTAGGCAAATGTTCACACGTATTCGTCAGAAATGATAGAGTACGACAGCCTTTACAGACTCCTTACGACGATCCTTTTAAAATTGTCCGAAACGACAGCAAAACAGTTACGGTAGAAAGAGCTGGTAAACATGATACTGTTAGCATCAACAGAGTAAAACCAGCGTTTTCAGAGCACATCGAGAAACAGACAACAATAAAATCATCTAAATCCGCATCAGAGCAAGCACCACACAAACTACCTGCAACAAGCAATACTTCACACCGAAGTTCAACGGCAACAGAAACTACAAGATCAGAAAGAGGAGTACACTTTCCAGATAGAAACGTAGCAACAACTATATTTACCTAGCCCAAATCCTGAAATTTTTCTTAACACAAAATCTTTTATTTTTTATTAGCTGTTCTTTATTGGCCCCACGGATCTTCATTATACTTATTTTCGACTTCATGCAATCCCCTGATGTTATATAAAAAACAACTATGTTCTGGATGGGAGCTTATGTAACAAGCCCATTCAACTACTGTATTATTTGTGTGTTTTCTGTAGTTTAAACAGTTAATCCACTTTGTAAATTTATGTGTGAGTCTGATTGAGCGCATGTGTCTGCACATCAATCTCTAATATATTCTCTCATTGGTTGTAAGCAAAGACAATCAATAATTTACCCACAGTCCATTAACACCCCTAAATATATATGGATTTTAAGCACTCATTGACACACATATACATATTCACTCGTTTTCCCTGTGTGCTTGCTGTCTGTACGCTTGCGGATTTTCACCAAGCTTCAACAATAAACTATCTCTATAACTGGTGTTCAGGCTCTTGAATAATCTCGAGTAAACCCATAATTATACTAGAAGATTTAGCCTGCATTAAAAATTCAGTTAACGGGATATTATTTATTTATTGGAGTCAGATATAGAGGAGGGGGCTGTCTGATGTTACATACAGCCACCGCCGTTTCCACCTCTTTTTGCTTTCGTTACCCACCGCTATTCACTGTTGTTCGTTGGACCTTTGCTTCACCGAGATCTGATTTGTTTTCGCTCTACATCGTGTTCAGAGCCTGATAGGATGAATTTACGAGAAACTATCAGTGCAATAGACTTAGGACACATCCGATGGTTTTTTGTAACCCTTTGGTTTAAATCACCGATATATGCCAATACTGTTTCCACAGCTGTTCGTATATCTTTCCAAACAGCATGTGGGTCAGTCTCGTTTTCAGAACTACCTGAGTGTGACCTCAGTTTTTCCTGGAATATACTTTTTGCTTTCTCTTCACTCAGTTAAATTCTAACGGGCCTTCTTAGTGTGTCTTTACTGCATCCATTAAAACAAGCAAATGCGTGCTCGTATTAGAGCATGATCGAAGTCTAAGCATGTGTTTCAGAACGAACGACAGTCTTCTATCAAGCCTCTCCAACGATGACTGATGGCAATATGGTCTATTTGAGTCCATCGTTGGTTTGATACACGAGGTCTCCATGTTACACGATAACTCTCATTATGCTTAAAATTAGTGTTCGCTAAAAATAAACGACTGTCTGAGCATAGTTGCAACAGACGATCACCGTCTGTTCTCTGAGTAGGGACACTAAAATACCCACCTAAATATCTTTCTGTTTGATTTAAGCTACCTACTTGGGCATTAAAGTCACCTGCAACGAGTACTATGTCTGAGCATTTAGCTTTTTGAAGAAGTTCAGAGAGCTTTCTGTAAATTTCATCTTTGACTTCATCCGGGCTGCAGTCCGTGGGAGCGTAGGTAGAAATGACGAAAAGGCACCGACATGTGTCCCTAACCTTCTGAGTTCATATAGAACCGTTTAGCCGGACAGCACATAGTCGATTGTTAACGGAGATCCACTCTAATAGTGTTTGTTCTACCCTCGTACTAAGTGCTATGCCTACACCTGCAAGTTCACGAGAACTAGCCATAGGGTCGCCAAATACACGGAGGGTGTATTTCGTTGGCTGCCCATTACGGCAGTAAGTAAGTACATTGAAGGCTCAAATTTGTAGTTTGAAGCGAGGTTTCAGTAGATTTGAGACAGTGTTTAGCGCACTAGTGTCGTTAGCTATGGTGACACTTGAGGAGGAAGCCAAAAGATGAAGTTTAGTGTTAAAAGTCGAGGTAGGAGGAGTAATAGGAATTGAAGAGGAAAATTTATTATGAATACAGTGATCTTGTGTGGTGTTAGGGGTATGAGGTCGGTTATCACTTCCCGGTTGCCCACACCGTGGAAGGGTTCTTCTGGAGGTACCTGAAAATGAAATCGGATTAGAGGTGGTCTTAGTGACCTGAGAGCATTGCTGCAGTGCCCAAGGGACAACTGCTTGAGGTCGGTTACATATCACCTTTTTGTGAGTAATGTTCGTGTTAGCTCCATACTTGTTGAGACCTTACCACCGGAGACAGATATCCATGGGATAAAGCGAGGTGTGCATTTTTAGGCTCAACTTTTTCTAACCCCACTCCTCGTAGGATGGCACTATCGCTGTTATGCTGGTTGCCTGAAGGAAACACCTTACTGTCGTCACACCTCTGTACAGTCAGCAGTACGACCTCGCCTTCGGTTTTCTGCTTTTAGTCTTACCACTCTTCAACCGACCTGTCTGGCATGATAGGACCTTGAGGAATGATTGTTCCAGCCAGTATAGCTTGATCGGGTCATCACGATAGGCAAGTCTAACCACCACCTCAAGGTAGCAGCAACTGTCGAGCTTCAGATACGTAACTCAGTGGTTGAAAATGGGATATTTAAATCAACGATCAACAAATCAACTGTACTGTAATCACTTGTGCCGTACATCACTACTGGCCGACGATACCAACTCTTTCAATGAACAGGTAAATGGTAAAACTACACATTCTTTTAAAGTTTGTACTCATATCTTCACGTAAAATGCCAACCTACCTATTACAAGAATAGGACTATAGCCACGAAATTTAAAACGACAGATTTGGTATATCTACTTATCTGTGACGTCAGCAGCTGATCGACTGATGTCATTTCAGAAGACACAAAAGGTACTAAAAGTACTAAAACCTGTGATTTTATTGCTAAGACGTTTTGAATTATTGTCGTAATTAGTGAAAATGCGCTTCACGTTCGAGGTTATCAATTCATTTGATATTCAATAATCATTCAGATACTCACTGATATTAAGTGGTTGTGTCCTAAATAATTTTGCCTGACTGATTGTCTTATACTTCATCTAGACAAAAGTGTTTCATTTCACTAACTTTGATAACCTGAGTATCTCGCTCCTTCGAGTGTCGTTTAATTTAGAAATTAACAACAGTTACAACAAATTGGTTGACTTGGTCTCGATTTGTTTCAGCACTATTTGACCAGTGTTGTACATCGTGTATTTAATAGCTGAAATCACGATTATATTACCATTATATATTCCGTGAGCAGCAAGTATAGCATTGTTTTTTCAATGCAGACATCAACAAAACAACGGAAATATAAGAAACTGCTTAATTAAATACGAAGTTAATGTTCGCGTCCGAAATACAAAGTCGATATACCCTCACAGAAGATGTAATGGTTTACTCATGTATGTGCATTATAAAATATAAACATGCGCCTACCAAATGTGGATAATCCAGTAACACTAGTTGTATATTTTTTCTTGCCTCTGGAAGTTTTAAATACTGCTATTTGCTGCTTTACTGGTTTTTTAGGTCCTCCTTTTCCACCCCTAACTTGACGTCCTTTAGGCGCTGCCTCAGTTTGATTTGAATTCATATCATCTTTAAAGTAAATGTGTGACGGAAATTGAAAACGTACCGGTATTAAGTCGTTCAAACTCTTCAGGTAAATTTTTTTCTAACCATGCTCGACACTTGTCAGGAAATGGTGAAAATTCACAATACTCCAGAGGCATAGTGCATTCTGTATGAAAGTATTTCATGAGCAAAACCACTAACCACCACAATACTTAATTGTCAAAGGATATTCAACATCAGGGTACGGCCTCGCTCGTGGCATGTATTCATAGTTCTCAGTCATTACAGTTTCTGTTAAAATAAAACTCTGAACTAAAACAACAGAAAATATGAAATTAACGTCTAGTATAAGTGTTTTTGATTTAGACTTTGGAAGTCGATCGATTGACAATCAAAAATGTAATTATCACTGAATCTTGAGTTAACGTCTGATGAAAATAAACGTTCACCATAACTGCTCTAGAATTGCTTATGAATATTTAAAACGCCCACGTATTTGATTCGCAATCACCGGTACATTAGTTTAGACATGCCAAACCTGTCTTAATTCGAACGACTGGATCTAAGTAGATAGATAAACGATGGGACTCGTAAGAAAAAACCCCTGAGATTTGGTAAAAGTTATTTGGCCAACACGAACACAACCTGGCATACTACTTGCCTGGTTGACCTGAGCTTCAATGAAGTGGTGGACTGTGTCGCATTGTTTACTAAGTACATAGATGCATTTTGCAACTACGAGCTCTAAAAGCTTGAAGATTATCACGTTTATTGGTACTCTTCAGCAAACTAATGACACGCCATCACCTGGAAATGATAACTAGCTATTCCTTACTGGTATTTTTTCTGGTTTGTTATCACACGTACTATTGATATTCCACATCAAACTGAGCTCCTAAAAGTGTTTGGAATGTTGAGTATATGAATCATTAAACCAAATGATATATAAATTGTATGATAAGCGGTAAGACGAACTTATCAACGAACCAGTCAGATTTAAAATAACAGGTTTTGGATCTTGGAACGAAATCCACTCACCCACAGGACAAAATAACATTTTGGCATTACGGATTGTCAGTACGTGACAAAATCTGTAATCCTAATTCTTAATCTTTAGCTGTAAATCCCAATTCCTCACACTAATTTATGGTCTTCATCTCACCCTATTAAGTCGGTCGATATCCCCAAGGTCACCTGCGCATAACACGAAGGTAGTCCATAAGATATGAACTCACGTGAAGTGATTAAATATGATATTAAATGGTGAGATGAACGTAAGGGGATTCTGAAGCAACACGTGTCTGATTTGTGTCATTTGGATTAGAATTAAGAAGTTACCGTTTGAGGATTTAAGTCTTCTTCCAGTACCAGCCAGCTAAACACCTAATAACTTTAAAAATTGGTTCCATATCTTTACTTTCCCACTCAGGAGTCCACAAAAATTATATCTCTACTACTGGTCTCTTAATGAAAACCAGGGCACAAACGTCATTCTAGCCAAGTAAAGGTGTGTAGTAACGGTTTATTGTACTTCCTCGAGTTTGGGATCACCTGGTAAGATTCACTTAACACAAGTGTCTCTTACTCTTTGAGTTTTGCTTTAACCGAACGCGTACAACTGTTATAATTATTGGTTAGACTTAAAGACTTGGGAGATATCGTTTAAGTTTGGGAAGTCCGTAGAGATTAGTTATACAAACTGCCACAGCACATCCAATGTGCACACTTCACGTAATACACTAAAGAAACTTTAGAGAAATTTAGGAGACAAGAATACCATGTTGTCATACAACTTTGAATTATATTATGCAGTTCACGTCTAATTCACTTTAGGAAGTTAACTTGCCAGTTCATATTGGATCGTCTTGAATATTAAGATGGTGAAACATATTGATTCAGATTCAGCATGAAACCAACCTTGAAGTAGACACGCTACTGAAGACCTTCAACCAAACAGCAACGCAATAGGCGAACACCGCGCCCGGACTACGATGTGACTTCAAATCATATGTATTGCATCAGAGAGTTATCTAACAGTTTGTTCTTTGAGAACTGCTTATAATTCAGATTTATGTTGAAAAAGTGAATCTAACTGATGATTTATCGGTCATCTATCATAATGACTTGGAGTTTTTTACGGATTGACCCTGTAAAAGTGGAGTTCTCCAAGGTACAATCCGTGGTCCTCTTCTCTTTTTAATTTATGTAAATGAATCAACAACTGCATCAGAGTCACCCGTTCCACTCTTTGCCGATGACAAAGATTTGGAGACCCATATATAGTGTCAGATAGAATAGTATAATAATATATCCACATGAAACGACTTTTATATTGAAGATTTTTGGTTTCCAGTCTAAGTAACGTGTTGAAGGCTTCAAAAGATTCAATAGTCGTGAAAATCTGCACTTATTTCGTTTCAATGACTGATCTTGATTCGGTGAGAATTGGCTGAAACTTCATTGTGATTGTCTTAAACTGATTCCCGCATTCTGACAGATGTTTTGTTCCTTGGGCTTAGTACAGACAGTCATTATGGTTCGTGAGTATCCTATCGTTAACCCTGAATGTAGAGTCAGTGACTTATCGTGACGGAATATTTTATGATTATTTTTCGAAAATGCTGTCACATCCGAACCGTAACAGTTATTTATTTCAAGTGGATGAAGTAATATTGAGCTACTGGCCACTTGCAGTATTCAGAAATGCTAAAAAAGGTCTCGTAGTTTTGAATTTGCACTATGCGTGACACGATGGGACAAAACTAGTACTTAAGTATATTCTAACAAGTTGATTTAAAGATCAGCAGGAATTAAGTCGATGACGATTTGTTGGAAAAATGTTTTACTGTATTCAGAGGTAGGCAGATTCCCAACCACTTAACACAGCTGGAAGTGGGAAAGGCATTTCATGTTAGGTAATACTGTTATAGGACGATGATGGTTGATCAAGTGCTTTCAGCTAGTGGTGGTCATTAAAGCTTTAGGTCAATTAAAACATCAGGAACCCACAACCAAGACGTCTCTCAGGCTGAACCACCTCTGTGTTAGCCGACAGACCACTGATCATTGGGCTGTCTATCAAGCATAGCCAAGGATGACTTACACGCATTAATCAACTGCTAGTCACGAACTAGTTCATGCGCTAGTGGAACTTGAATTGTTCATGAACCCAGCTTGTGATCGAGCACGTTCACTGAGACTATTTTTCTTTCTAGGAGCCAATCGGCATGTCTTCGACACTATATGTTTTCAAAGTTGTGCGCCACACTTTTAGTGGCTTGTCGCATTTTCGACGATACCTCTCCGAGTTTAGGACACCTGTTTTGTACCCTTCAAAAGTGTACACAAATTTTATACTCATCTCGAAGTTGTCGAAAGCCAGTCAAACATTTAGTATCAGAAAGCGATAACCTGATGTTTTAGTTTATTAAGATTCGTTTAGTTAGGATCAGTGAGTAAAATGTGACGTTCCAGTAGGTTCACGCCTATGTTAGGGATTGTGCCTGTGGTAGTAAGACTCGTGTAAGATCCTGTATAGGACCGCAACATTTAAAGTAACTTTTCAGGATTATTGAGCTTACTTTACCAGGAGACTAAAAGGTGTAATATAATGTGGTTGGCTAGCCATGATGTAATTGTCCTATCTATGTGGCCTTATGTCGAAGTCTCATTGTTATCTATACTGAATTGTCCTACAAAGTATAGGGGCTCACCGCTTCCTAAGAATGTTCGAAGAACATATGTGAACTTATCCTTGGGATATATTTAATATAAATATGAAAAAACATACATATCATTTCTACATGTGTCAGTCATGGTATCTCAAATTTTCCCGAATCGCCATACACTGACTTTCACCATCTTTCATTTGCTGTTCAAAGACAGTAGGAAGCACTTCTAAAGAAAAGTAAATTCAGCTTTTATTATCATACTCATCATTGTTATGAGCGGAAGTTTGAATAAACATGCAGTTTGTTAGGTCTGAAAGCCACCATGAATTTTTAATGCTGGAAGTCATCGCTTGTTCTCTATTTGGAAGGAAACAGATTGGTGGGCACAGTAGGATTTTATTCGGATTGCGGAACAGAGCACTTGCAGCGCCATTTCAAACACGGAAAGTTTTCAACATTCGTTACTGGATAATAGGAAACATCAGACTCATTATGGATGAGAACAAGTCAATCAATCTATGATATTGAGGCTGCTCTCCTACACTCGCCATTCAGACTCATGTTTCCAATTTTTATGCTGGATTAGCTATTCTACTCAGACAACCTGTAACATGCTGACTCAGACTTGTACATGAAATCTGTGTGGCAGGCATCGGATGATGAAGAAACAGACTGTAAGGGATGTAGCTGTTATCTTACTCAACACTCTACTCTGTATGTGCACTCTCTATTCTAATAAACAGTCTTCCTCATTCCGACCTTGACTTCCCTTCCTTCATTCGAACCTACTCCACCTTGATAAATATCGCAACTCATTGTTCTTTATTACTGCATTCTCTCATCTGGAGCCCTTAATCACATTTCACTCTAGCAACATGATCTATTATCAGTTTGATCTAATATACCTCCGTCTATCCCACTACTAAATGTTAAGCATTGTTTATCGTTCATATCCAGATGCTTTGCCGCTCCTCGTTTTCCTTCTTTCTCTTTTTTTTATTTTTTTCTCTTCAGGACTTTGCTCTGAAGGCGAAGTTGAGGAACTATTGACATCTGGAACAAACTCGCTGCAGGCGCTTTCCCGAAGTCATAGTTCGCACTAGGCGCTTCAGAAGTCTACTTTATAACAACTATAAACTTAAAAAGCTGCATTACATAAATACTTAGCAAGTCCTACTAGAATTTTCGCCGAGATTAAATCTGGTATGTAAGGTGAACGCGATGACCCTTTGGAAAATATTTTGAAGAATACACAGTATTTCGATAATGTAATAAGAAGACAAAGATTATCAGAATTATGTGATATATTAGCGCAATACATTTCGAACACTCTGATCACACATTTACTTTTTAAGAACTTTTATATATAAAAAGTGTAAAAGGGCGTATACTGAGGTTTTTTGAAGCCTTAGCCATACGAAAATTCAAACCCCCTTTGTGTATTCAAAAACAGTTTGTTCTCTCCTCAAACCTACCCTGGTAATATTACCTTATTATCCAGAGTGATTGGGTGTCAAATTGTTTTCACATTATTTTATCATTATTATCCTTCTTTATTCTTACCCTTATTTCCAGTCTAGTTTACCTTTTATTTTTATATACAAATGTTCTTAACAATTATATATGTGATCAGATTGTTCGAAATGTATTGCGCCAATATATATCATAGTTCTGATAATTTTCGTCTTCTTAATACATTATCGAAATTTATCAAACGGGCTAATTGCTTTAAATTTCTTAATACACAGTATATGTGAACGAATGAACGGCTATTAACTTTTATGGATTATATTTACTAAACAACCCTGCTTGGGATGCATACTGTGATGCAGTATATGTTAAAACCTGTAGATCATGCCTGCAAGAATTGTGTTTATCTGCCCTTGCAGAAATATATTATTATTATCATGCCTACCTGAAATAAGGAAGGAAATAAATGTTTGTGCTCTAATGCCACGACTTTGCCAAAATGTATTTGAATTATGTTAACCAACCAACATACGTTTTTACAAACTCGACATTTATGTCCACAGTTTCTGATGGTTTCTACTGATTAAGGTGGCATTATTCTTCCTACGTGTCATGTCCTTTTTTATTACAAGTAGGCAAATAACTAATGAATCTTATGAATGCTGATCAACTATGGCCGATCATAAGAAGCTCATAATATCCTAAACTCTTGTGAGTTCCCTCAGTGTTTTGTTTTTTTACTCTGAAAATTTACGATTCTATACTATTTCATATTCTTTGATTTACTATCTATCCTTACCATCTTTAAACCACATATAATCTGACCCATGTCTTATATTTTACACCATTAGTTATTTTCACAGCTGTGTGATATACTAAATGGGTGTCTAACCCACAATACCAAAGCTTTAACCATCTGACGTGCTTGTAACATGGAACTAGTAAGGACAATATATTCCGATGAAGGGTTATTAAAGTCTCAGATATTCAGGAGGGATTTAAGGTCGAAGCTTCGAAAAGCCCCCAACTTCACATGTATCTATTCTTGACCATCAGCTGTATGTTGCAACGCTACCTTCATAAAGTGCACCAAGTGTGATTTGAGATGTTTCTTACGAAATCCATTTTCATTCAAATCTTATAAAATATCAACCCAACTGACTAATTTTCTACAGTGGAAGTTGTAACTCCTGTAACAATTTGATCTTGCCTGTAAACCGGCCTGCCTCATGTAACAAACTGTTATTTGAGAATAAATTATTATTATTATTACTTAGTCTAATTCTTTTCTTTAATTCAAACAAAGATGTTCCTTGATTGGCACTAAAACATGTGGTTTTAGATACATGCTATACTAAGCATGCTTTATTATCGTTATCATGAGCCTACTATATAAAATGTTTCCATATCTTACAGCGACCATCTCTCTCCAACTAATATTTAGGGCGTTAAAATAATCTAATATCAGGTATCTGTTGATCTTATTCCATATCCGAATGTGATCCAAAATAAAGTAATCGGCTGAGCAACTTGGGCCATAATGAATGAATAAATGTACAACATTCAAATGTGAGTTCACAGTAAGTGACTTCACAAGTTTCACCATGCTATTCACAAACAAAGGTACGGATAACTAAAATAACTCATAATGTCATTTAATAAGAAAAAGATAATTCAGCGAAGAAAATTTTTTCTTTTCCATCAGAAATGTCAACGTAATGGGTAAGAAAATGCTCTCACTAGATGTTACGTCGTTGTTTACAAATGTTCCTCTCACAGAAACTATTTGTTTTTATGTGACTATATTGAAAATAATAATCTGGAGATATGTATCCCAAAACACTATCTTAAAGAACTACTCCTACGATGCACGCTTAACGTACAATTTAAATTTAATGATGGTTTCTATAGACAAACAGATGGAGTTGCAATGGGCTCTCCATTGGGTCCTCTTTTGGCTGATTGTTTCATGGCCAATCTAGAAAATTCAGCACTTCGTCCAATAATCGAGACATTTCATTTATATAAGAGATATATGGATGATACTTTCGTTATTTGTGATGATGACATGGACCACAATGAAATATTAAATATTTTCAATAACTGTCATCCTGCAATTCAATTTACCTTAGAGGCAGAATCGAACCACGAATTCCATTTTCTTGATGTCCATTTGAAAAGATTGCCTGATGGTTATTTACAAAGATCTATGTATAGAAAACCCACTTGGAATGGACAATACACGAATTTCCATAGTTAGGTTCCACTGAGTCGAAAGAGGAACTTAATTCACTCTTTATTATCTAGGATTAAGCGAATCTGTTCTAGTGACACAATAAATGAAGAATTACTTCATCTTCGACAGACCCTCATCAAAAGCGGTTATCCACCGAGGTTCGTCGATAGCAGCTTAACATCTAGACATCAGCAAGAAATAACTTTGACAGTGCATAAGAAAACCTTGTTTATGAATATGGAATTCAAGGGAGACACGGCTGCTGAAATCCTGAATAAACGGATTTCAAAAACGTTGAATAAAACTTTCCACACAGTCAAGCTCCGAATCGTTTTCTCTAGCCGGCCTACCATTCGGGGGGGGGTGTTAAGGATAAACTTTCGCTTTGGGCCACATCGATGTGTATTTATAAATTTACTTACTTGTGGAGCACGTTATATAGGCCTCACAAAGCGATTGCTTTCCAAACGTATCTCTGAACACTATCCAGCTTGGCTCCTAAAAGGTGAATGTAAAAAGATAACCAGTTCGATACAAGAGCATTTGATCAATTGTGGACACATTGCTCCAAAAGACACGTCTTTTAAAATAATCTATAGAGTTAAAGGAACTGGATCAAGGGGAGGTCGAATCAATACTTTATGCACTGCTGAGGCATTGGCGATCCATGAATTTAAGTCTGAACTTTGCGTGCAGAAACGATTTGTCCAACCTCTTACCCTTCCTTGGCCCTAATTCCCTCATTCGGTACGTTTTTTTGGTTGTTTTTTTTGTTTTTTCTCTGTACTTTTATTTGATTATTATCGGTTTTTTGTGTTTAAATTACTATTTTACATTTAAACTCTAATCAGTTATTATTATTACCTTATACAAGTTTTTTGATTATTACTCAATTATTATTATTATTATGACCTTTGTGTTTGTCGCTTTTCTTCATATCTGTCAATCGAACTATTATCTGACCCATAACATTATTTTCTTCCTTACCCCTTGATTAGCACGTCACCTCATTTGTTATTTATTGTCGAATCAATTTATAATGCAATCTTTTCTAGCCTCCTATAGACATATATTTTCCATATTACTATATATACGAATGTACAGCTTAAGTAAATGATTTCGTCGAAAAGGTATGGATGTTTACATCGTCCAATATGAATAAAGGAATCTCCCTCATTTCCTCCATCCATTCCCAACACTTCTTATATGGTCGTACACCGACAATTCTGGAGCGACGTCAAAGTCATAGACTAGTCAAGTTTTGATAACATGAGTGGTTTGGATTCGTCCGTCGATACTCCTGGTTCATGGAATTTATCTCCTAGACTACAAGTGATGCATAAGACTCCTAAAGAGAACGACCTATCCATACAGGCCTTGGTATTATCCGCTTGGAAGACTTGGGTACTCGAAAGTTCACTAAGTAGAGATCTTCATCA